AAAGGCAGAATAAAACAGCTCCACATTCCTATTAAGATATGAACTAAACCCGTTTCGAAAGAGATATATACATGCCTCTGACAGAAAGAAAACACGCACTGCGTGCGTATCTACACTTACAAACTATGATGGTTTACCTGTGTCGATAGTTTAAGTTCTGGCTATTCTTCAGCTGTGGATTACATGGTTATTATTTGTCATATTTATGATATCATAGGGTTTAAATTTTAACATACACTACAAAGCTTCCCAAATACTTCATTGTAAATCAAAATATTTACGTTCGGATTTTAAACTATGACCTGTTACTATTTAGTTATCATACATTTTACTGGTTGTTTCGGTATTCCAAGCTTGTCATTATAAAACGAAAATAGCTGACAGTAGCACCAAGGGTTTTATTATATGTGTTAGAGTATTACAATTATGAATTTGTCACAAACATTGTTACGAATTTTAAGATACAAACTGTCTTTCCCTGATTATCTATGATTTTAATGGGTTGTTTTTTACATTATATCTAGTTTGTCATTCCATGCCATTCCACTTTTATTTTATACACATTATATCATGAAGTTTTATTATGTAAATTACGTTGTTACTACTTTTATTCCATTTTACATTCACTTAAATGAATAAAAATACTTATACTCCATCTGTTACACCTGTATTTACACCTGCTTAAATTTTTAAGGAATAAGTTTTCTTCCCTTCTGCACATAACTTATATTTTTTACTCATCTTGGAGTAGATATAAGGGTCTTTATTCCTCATTGATGTACTGTCCTTTGACATGATGCGTGCTGTTGTAAATATAATCGTATATTTTATATAACAAGATCCTGATATGCAAAATCAACTGCATTTTTTAAAAAAAGCTAATATTAAATTATAATTCCAACGTGGTCTTAATCTCAATACGTTTCAAATAACATTTCTGTCATTCATAAATTTAAATAAAAAAATCAGTAACATACAGAAACGTTACACGTGAGAAGAAATTTAAAATATACATATGATACGACCACAGCCGGATTAAGTGCTACACCAAACACGTACGTGCGTGGATCCCAGTCCAGAAAGAGGTTCATGATGGCAGTATAATGACTGGGGTTCTTTGAATGAATTGAGGTATATTTAAGGTTCTTTAAAAGGCGGTAAAATTTTTCTTAAATTACTACAGCCAATTTTTTCCCATTGAAATACATTTTTAAATAAAGGTTACACAAAATATAAATGTACAAAAAACAAGTTTTTAATGCTAAGCACATGTATGCATATCTATTAACAAACAAACCTTTACAAACGTATTATAGCAGATTATCAACAAATACTTGGAAATAAGAAAATATTCTCTGAGTAAAAAGCCCAGATTTGAAGATAACGTCACTAATGTAATTGGCAAAGTGGTCACAGAGTGTTTATTGTTTAAATATTTAGTTGTCTTCCTTCTGGCCTTTAACCGCTTAACATTGCCATGGCATAGAATGCACAAGAGACTGAACGTTGGCAGGAGTGAGTTCATGATGCCACACGCGGATTAGAGCTTCATGCAGTTCTAAGATGCTTCTTGCTTTCTTGTCTTGCACTTTGTTACCCATTACCTTTCAGAAGTTTACGATAGAGTTGATATTTGGGCTGTTGCCTGGCCAGTGTATAGTCTTGATCCTCTCCTTTCTAAGATAATACTTCCCTGGAAGTAATGTCTTTTCGATACACGTAGAGTGAAATTTCCTCTTTATCTCACGTCTACTGCATATAGTGCATGAATATTAACAACCACTGTATCCTTGTGGCATAGAGCAGAGTCATCCTGGAATGTGCACTGGTCAGCTCCACTGAAGTGATCCTGAATTGTGGGCTTTAACCGGGACTTGTCAGCGCTAACAGTGCCTTTCGCAAAATGCAAGTGTCCCACACCCCAGCGAGAGATGCATCCCCACATCACCTTACTTTGCAGATGCTTCATAGTTGCATTCAAATACACTGGATGAAACTCTTCTCCACATCAACGTCATACAAAATGCTTCCCATCAGACCTGTGCAGGTTGAACTTTGTTCATCTTAGAATATCACTTTGCTCCACATTGCTTAAGCCCCGTCAGCATGTTCTTTGGCCAATTTGAGCCTCATCTTGTTGGGGAGGAGGGGTTTATTTCTGGGAGACCGGCTGAATACAGGTGAGACCAGACGGTACGTACAGTGATAGTGACCTATTAAGTTTTCTTCCCTGCTCTTTTGAGATTTATGGACGACGGTCGCCATTTGTGCAGGTTCCTGCATTTCAGAACACGATCGTCAGCTGCTGTGGAAGCTTTCTTCATACCCCTTCTCTTCCACTATTCCACACAGCCAGTCTCTATATCTCTGCACCAAGTGGTTCACAGTAGACTGGTTAAATTTAATTATTCTAGCAAACTCCCTTGTCGACAGTCCTTCTTTGCTCAAAAAAACAATGTTTTATTTTTCGCGGAGTTAGCTTGTAACCCTTGGCATCACCCACATGCTGTAGCAAATAATTAGATAGTGTTGCATCATCCATGAAACCCATTTGCACCTATATGCATTAGGGCCTCAAAACAGACGATGATTCCGAAGAGAATTTTGAAAATATTGGGTGATGCAATACATTTTTTCATCACTATAATTTGATTTTCTCCTATACCTTCGACGGAAGTATAATACAATTTACTTTGAGTAGTAGCTGTATTTTATAATTTTGCATAATCCACTTCCACAAACATTGCAATAGGTATTTCGTTGTTTTTATAATTTATGATTTTGGGAAAGACACCTCTGCTACCATCTAAACAAAATCTTGAAGTTTTACAGACCATAAACTCATACCCTTGAAAGAATATTTAAAATCGTACGCCTTAAAGGAATAACAGAATTTGTACACCTTTCAAGTTGTATAATAGTTGTTACTCCTTAATGGTGTAAATTTACTCATTTAAAATGGACTGAAGTAGCAGAGCTGTTACATCCTTAAAGAAATTAATTTACTTTTTTTTTTGAGAGTGCAATTTATTATTCAGAAGCAGTATTAGGGTTTTAAGGTTTTTGTTAGGGATTTTGAGTTACAAGCTGTAATTCCTTATTTATTTATGATTTTACTGGATTTGTTTTTTGCTATTCCCCGCATGCCATTCCACTTCTATTTTTCAGAAACTGTGTTAAAGAGTTTTATTATTTTTGCCTGAGATTTTAAGATACATACTGTTATTTCTTCCTTATATTAGATTTTTCGGTATTTCTAGCTTGTCATTCCATTTTTAATTTGTATAATAGTTCATGTCTACATAATGTCATAAGGGATTTCAAGATTTGTGTTCGTGTGTGTATTTGTGTATGACATTTCATGCAAATCTACACGAAGACTATCTGAGCTAGTCGTTACTAATTTAGAAGTGATAGATTAGAAAGCAGGTGCCCCCCAGTGGCACAGCGGTATGTCTGCGGACTTACAACGCTAGAAACCGGGTTTCGATACCCGTGGTGGGCAGAGCACAGATAGCCCTTTTGTAGCTTTGTGCATAATTAAAAACAAGAAATAAGGTAGCTAGTCAACACTACCCACACTCACTTATGGCTACTTTTTACCAACAAATAATGGGATTTACAGTCACATTGTAACACCCGTACAGCTGAAAGAGTGAGCATGTTCAGTGCCGGGATTTAAAGTGCCCTGATCATCAGGAATTCTAAGTTTTAAGTTGTCATTCTTTTTGTATTTTCGTTATAGTCAATGGGCATTCTATTGTGTTATTCGTTTTAGTCTATTTCGCTGTGAAATTAAAATATTAGATTTCGGGTTTTATACTTTATTGGGATTAAAGAAAGCGTACTAGCTTAAAGAATAGATAGACATTACATTTCCTAGATTCAGGATACTCAACTTTACATGATACATTGTTTTTTCAGTTTTGTTGTATAAGCTTGTCTAAAAACATTAAAACCTATACAAATCCGAAAAAAACTGGAAGCTTTACCATCTTATAGGACGTCGGAGAAATAACTAAAATGTTGACGTCTGACAACCCCGTGTCTAGTGGGTTTCAAAATATTATTTCTTTCTTCTTTTAAAACGTATGGCTATAATCATAAGTGCAATTCAACATAGAGTATGTCATCTCCGTTTTGATGTTGTTTTGTATTTAAACACAAAGCTACACCAATGGATATCTATGCTCCGCCCACCAAGGGTGTCGAAACCCAGTTTCTAGCAGTATAAGTCCGCAGACATACCACTGTGCTACTGGGGGACTTTTGTTTTGAAATAAGAATGTTAACTTCTCAAATAACCCACAGATTACGGGTGCTGAAACCTTTCTTTAGAAACGTAAAACAGTACCATCAAAAGTGTATTATCATGTTATATTTGAATAACATGATAATTACTTTGCGTATAACCTTACTGGCGATAAATTATATGATCAGCAATTTTTAATGAGACTAAAATAATTAACGTTAGATTCAATTTAGTTAAATCTTAACTAGAAGATACAATAACTTAGGTTATAAATTAATAAATTGTAATAATTATTTTATTGAATGAAAAATATAATATTGACCTGTATCAAAACAGAAGAAAAAAGGTTAAGCTAACAGTAGCAATGAAAAAATTATCTTTACTCATTAATATGAATAAAGTAACGATCGTAAAAAAGTCCTGATAATATTTCAAAGTATTTTTTCTTAACTCAACGTTTCGGCTTTACGCCTCCATCAGAATAATGAATTTTCTGTAACTTGTATTCTGGAGCTCGTTATATTTATTTATAACTACTTGTATTATACTTTAGTCAATGTTGCTTCAGTTACGTAAACTATAGTTTGTGATTTTTATTATAAATGTCAACCTATTTATTTCAAATACTCCGACAACTTCCGGTGTTTAAACCTTACATTTTAATTAAAGTCTGTATAAGGATTTTACCATGCAAAGAAGTGAACTGGTGTAAAATGATAGCGTTTTAGGTGTACACAAATAGGCTTACCTCCAGCACCTATACTCCGAAGAATCGGCTTGATCTTCAAAGGCTAGATGATAAAATACCAAAGGTACTGACTAATAAAAATATAATATATAATAATTCAATACAGATGTTAAAAGGTTTACCTAGACCATCACCCTATTTCAACTCAAACATAAGCATCACAAAAGAACAAGCTATAAAAAACAAAAAAAAGTGGAAGTGTCGTAATAATTATTTCAGTAGGCGGATCTTTCAGTCACGTGACTGAAGCATCAGATTCAGTAACTGAGAGAGAGAAAGAGGTCAACGCTAAGCCTGGTCCAAAACATGGACCGAATCCCGATGATGAAGAAGAATAGTTATTATACTGTTGTGTAGAGTGGTAACAAATAGCAATAATAGGTAATAACCCTTGTTACGTTGTTGCATTTCTCAGAGTATGTTAAATTTTGTCCATTATCCGCAGTTTAAATTAACTATCAACTCTTTGACTGCGGCTACTTTAAACGCGAGCGAAATTGTTGCATTCATCTGCCGGAGGTTGACCGACCCTATACGGCGAATCAGCAGTCAACGTGTTAAATAACAATCACTAAACTCTGGTAGAAATATAAGACATAAATGAGCATGGTTTGTTTGTTTCTTTTAGCGTAAAAGTACGTAATAAGCTATCTGCACTCTGTTCAGCACGGGAAACCGAACCCCGAATTTGAAAGTTTTATGTTTCTAAACTTCCCGTTGACCCATTGATGGACAAATGATTATCTAAGAAAGCTTACTTTCTAAAAGTTTATATATTGCTATAGATAGTGTAAATTTAAACCTTAAATAAAACCACTAGAACCAATGACTACTAATCCAATGTGTATATGAATATGTACATTTCAAGTGGAAAGTAAACATTTTTTAAATATGTATACAGCTATTTGGACAAAATTTAAAAGTATAGGTACTACCACTAAGTGTTTTAATGTTTTACAGTAATATTCCAAAATGAAACGTATGTTATTGTATTTAAATTTAAGCTTTAATTTACATTAACACGCAAAATAAATTCAAAATAGTTGGTTTTGTCATTGAAGATCGATAAAGATTCATGTAAAATTTCATCTGTTTCTATGTCACAAAAATATTAAAAAAAAACAGAAAATTTGATTTTTTTCAATTTAAGCAAACTTGATTATCTGAAACGAAATATTGCTAGTATCAAAGGCAAAGGAGTATGGGTAGTCTTGTTCTACATCTGAGTTTGATGACGAGGAATCTACTTATGGTTAATAAAGTTTGAAAACGGCTTAAATGGGTAATAAAGGAAATGATTGCAAGTAACAAATGTACAACGTTTCGAAGAACTTTTGTCGTCATGAGATACAAATAGCTCACTTAGAAACAGGAATGTATATACAATATGGAACAAAGAGATCACATGACCGGAGGTTGCTTAACAGCTTAGTAAAGGTATCTTGGTATCCTGAGGTGTTGGTTAGAGTACGACAGTCTTCCTTTATTTGCGTTTGATGTTTGATTCTTTGTTTAAAATTATAGTGTATTTTATTATGTTCAGTGAGTCTGGTTTCCAATTTTAAAATTATAGTGTATTTTATTATGTTCAGTGAGTCTGGTTTCCAATTTTAAAATTATAGTGTATTTTATTATGTTCAGTGAGTCTGGTTTCCAATTTTCTGTCGATTTCTCCAATGTAGAATTCTGGACAGTTATTACACGTTATTTTATAGATGATGTTGGTTTTGTGCAATTCTGCATAATTTTTGTTTGTTGCATTCTGTCATTTGGTGGGTTCTTTTAGATTACTTGGTGCAAATAATGTGAAGTGTAGTTTACATAACGATAACAAATTAGTTTATTACTCCCTCTACGTTTGCTATAAGCTACATTCACTTGGACACAGTTGTAAGCCTATATTCATAAATAACGTTTTCACGTTCAACAGTTTCTTTGCTAACCGACTGGTTAACTTAATAGACACGATCAATCACTACCTGCTCTGAATTTTCACTGACTGCTCAAAATGGATATTTCACTGAACCCTTCATCTCTGAATTAACTGCATGCCCGTATTTATACAAATACACTGATGTAAGATCTAGAGATCTTAGTCGAAGTTAATACACCTTAAACTTTTGCGTCCTCTAGTTAACATTAAATTAAAACATTGAAAATATAGGTTATAACACTACCCCCTTCCTGAAGTTCAAATTCTAATATAATTGAACTAAACTGCCCATTCACCTAGTCTTTGTTGGCGGTTTTCTCTTCTGAGGTTAATAGTGTACAGAATAGATGACGTTTTGTCCGTTATTATCAGTGGATATCTTGTCACTGTAGGAGTTCTTCCTAGGTAGGCAGTTGAGTGAATCTCCTGGAGGATTTAACCGTGTTGATCCTCTGGGCTTCCTCACCAGGTTAACTTTCTGCTAATTAATACTTCTCTGGAATTAACTAGTTGGCCATTCCCTAAGACGTACTTCCAAAGAAAATCATGATGGATGACTTTTGGCTTGGATTGTCTGTCTCTCTGGATTCTTTAAACCACACTATTGATTTGTTGTACAAATTAGAGCTCTTAGTAACACCTACTTAACTTTGCAGTTCATCCTTTCTCGCACAGTCATACCATGTCACTTTGATAGAATCCTTTTTAATCAGCATCAACAGCATAGTAACTTTCAATTTTATCACTAGCTGATTTAAGCCTTTCCCAAGTGAAATTATGTATGACACATTCTTTATATACACGAAAGAGCTTCCAAACATAAATTCCCCAAGACGTGCTGAAGTGTTTGGTTCCACCACATTCCTGTAACTAGATGTAGATTTATTGCTTTTGAGTACTTCATTTCTTGTTAGTAAAATGACTACTCTCCTTGTTGTTACTGGAAGTTTAACCTTGGATGTAGTAATTGCCATGTAGTGCACAGGGGTTACCTGATCATAGGCTGTGAAGCTATTTGAAGGTTGCCTAACTTCACAGCTATGTCTTCACATGAAGCTATATCCCAATATGCACTCTTCCTCTGTGTCATTTACTCATACATTAGGAGTTATAGAGAAGCTTCATACAGAAGTGTACCAACTTTCCTTTCACTGGACCTTAATGGCCACCTTCTGTTTGCAGCAATCCCTCATCTTCTTCTCTGAAGGCAATTTCCCACCTTTCGTTAAAAAAGCAGGTCAAACAATTGTAGCTGACCCTACAAACAGTAACTGTTCTAGCTCTTTGATCAGCTATTCCCAACCATATTGCTTGGGAGGCTGTCAGCAACAGCTCAGGTGACTAATCGATTTCTGTTTTGCCTCTAACTCCAGCATTTTTTCACCTGGCTCATCACCGGCAGCCAAATGAGTACATTCAGCGTTTTTCCCTTCATCAGATGAGTCTCTTTCACTGAAAAAATATCTTCAATGATATTAACCTCAGATTTCTGAGCAAGCCAGTACACAATACGTTTGACTATGAAGTAAAGACACAGCTTAACGACCTGCTCAACACGCTTTTACATTGCCTCACTTCCACTGTAACTCATATATCAATAGACGAATCTGTCAAACTATGAGAGGGGTGGTCCTGTCCACCTGGGTCTCAGCCACTTCCATTCTGCTAGCATGTACAACACCCCGACCCAATCTCCATATTGGTACATCCATTCGTTTACCATTTTGTTGTAGCACATCTAATGACATTGGGCAGCCTTCCTGGATTTTGACATGCACATCACTTAATGCAGACCTTAACGATTTCACATATTCCCGTGGACATTATGGGACTTCTTCTTCTTGAAGGAGAGGATCACACATCACGTCAACTGGGACAAGTATTTTCCACCCAAACATGAACATGTTTGGTAAACAGTCTATAGATCTCTGTTCAACTGCCCAGTAATTGCTCATCTGAGTAGGTTTAACCAGGATTGACAGACTTGACAAGCATGCACTTGGTAATCTGTATTACCAGTTCTGCTAAACTATCGGATTGTATATTATAAAGCAAAATGTTTGTCTTCACCACACCTAAGACTTTACGCAACTCAGAAAATAATTGGCTGTTGAAATTACCTCCCTGATCCATGTTAATCTCATCTCGTGGTCAGAACTGTACATTCAACATATAAGCTATGGACTGTGCCAATGTATCAACCAATGGATTGGCTTGGAATACTTTTTGAAGTAGTCTAGGGCAATGAGTGTGTTCTAATGGTCTCTGTTATTGGGTGTAGGTTAGTAATATCCGAATCTACCTTCTGTTGAGGAGATCCAACAATTCTCTATTGGAGTTTACCCTGCCTCTACTGGATCTTTCTTTAAGCAGTACACATCGTATTCACAAGTGCTGAACACTTTGTAATGAATGTGGTCTTTAAACTGTTATTGAATGTTAGCATAATTATGGGTAATACTTTGGTATCCTCCAGACATTATTATGCAAAGTCTGGGGACCAGCATCTGTAGCACAATCAAAGAACCACGGCTCAGTGACTTATAGCGGCAGTACGGCACACCGTTCTGCTCTCATAATTGACCATAGAAGTACTACAGATTACGTGCATCTGTGCTATATTTCTCTGTGCTGAGTGAGTTGTACTTTGCTGCATGGCAAGGAACACCCATGCTAGATCTAGGTCCTTCAGTTCCTCTTTCAAAAGCTTTTGAAGTATTAATCATTGCATCTATACACTGGTGTATTACTTCATGGCTTGATTTTGTTATGGTGAAAATGGTTTCAACTCCCATTCAGTGTCCAGGATCAGGATATTTCATGAATAAACAGGGTCTCAACATGTGGGCCTGGATGATGCATTATGACAAAGTCATGTTCTTACATCATTGTTATCCAACATAGCGTCAAACCTTCTGGCTTTTTAAAGTTCATTAACAATTCCATGAATTAGGCTCTACCCAGACAGTGAACCTTCTACTTTACAAGTAGTGGTAATAGTGTTTTGCGAGTGTATGTAGCATAAGCAAGAGCAGTACTTTCATATACACAGGTGATGTTCTGTTGTTTACTGCAGATGAAGTCTAGTGTGTCAGTCCCGTAAAATATGATTATCAAGCTATGCATGAAAAGAACTGTTTCTTGTCTGAAAGCAGGCAGTATTAGCTCGCGCAGTTAACTGTCTGAGAAGGAATGGAGCCCCAGTGTTGTTTTGTAATTAGTGTCATTTGGCTACCTAGCTTTATGCTGGAATGACCATAAGCACAGTAAGTTTAGCTGAAGTAACCAAGGCTAATGGC